ACGTTTTCCACGCCCTGCGACGGTTTGAATTTTCTATAAATTAACAAAAATATAAATAAATAAGACAGATGAAGATGATAAAAGAAACAAAAACAAGAATAGAACAAGAAAATATATTTTCTTTTCCACTTGCAATAAGTAGAGAACAGATACTTTAAATATATTTAAATTTATTTGTAAATGTTAGAAATAAATAGACAGCAAAAATAATGCCTAAAGTAAACCGATGGAATAAATATATAATATACTAAAATACTCTGACTTGTAAACCCTCTACGTGATTTTAATGTAAGAGTAAATTCCATAAGATTAGATTTTCCTGCGTAATAAAGCAGCTGTTGCACTTTCTAACATGGAAATCGACCACGTATCGTAACAAGATTGCAACGTTGAAAACATATACGATAAGTGACGTCACTGTACTAATTTCAATTATTTATAAACGCAGTCGAATTTAGACGGTGTCTAAAGCAGTCTTTTCCTATAGAACATTTGTTAATTTTAATCTTTCAATCAGCAAATAGATTTGGTATACAGTAGTTTCCACCCATCTCTTTGCATCATAATTTCTTTTCGTGCTCGAACCTCTTATTAGACTTGAACTTGTTGCATCAACTATACATTTTCATTTGTTTTTTCTTTCAGATCCTAATTTTAATGGTTCTAACTTCAAATCCATACTCTACAATACAGTGAGTTTTTGAATTTTCTTAAATTTTCCCAATTCAATATGGTTTTTAACTCTTTTGATCATGTACTTTTCATAAATATCATTCCTGCTCTTGACATCTTATTACTTTGCGATTCGTATCATCCTGTCCTTGCCTTCCTTATCCCGCTCGTGTCTAAAGCCTCTGAAGTTTTAAAGTGTGTCGAGAAAAGAAACTTTAAATCTAATGACCATTTTACGATAATTAATCTGAACTCTATAAACTGGAATCATCTTTTCTCATTCGAATTGTATAATAGATGCACATGTCCTCAGTCTCACATATCCTACCTCATTCTATACTGCTAAATTTCTGTTTATTAAATATTGGACTACCTATGTTAAGAAATCTAAAATGTCGATTCAAAATAATCTCGAAATATTCTGAATATATTTAAAACTAAGTTTAATTCAAAATCTGGAATAAGTAGAAAGAAAGAAATAAACAATTCTAAATACATTTTATCAGTAACACAGTCAATGGAGGATTTAGGAGAGTTCGAAGAAACAAGAATTAATAAAAAGTCATAACGAAATTCAACATATTAAATGGAAATGGAAACATTAAAGTTTTGAAAATAGTTAATTGGTTGTTCTAGTCTCAGTATCGCGACATTAATGCAACACGCCATGATTGAGAAAGTATAGCATAGTTTGTGTTCGACCTCCCCAATGCACCTATGTCTACATATTGAAATAATGTTGATCTAATAGAGTCGTAACTCGAGTTATTAAATCTCGAATAACGTTGTACGGCGGCTAGACTCCTCTTTGTACATAAACTAATTAATCAGCTAATTACCAGTTCTAACTACACCGTTTTCGTTATAAAATTTCATGGAACGTTATACGATAAACTTAAATCATTATATTAGTGGTACTCAAACTGAATTCCATTTTTATCCAAACTTGTGAGTTTTATTGTATCGTTCAGCAACACTTTCATTAAAGCTTCTGCTACTTAATAGTTTCAATAATAAAAAGGAAAACTTCAAATCGCACGAGATTTTTATAAAATCGAAAATTAGGAAGTGTCGAAGTCATAATTTTGCTAATTTTGGATTTGTTTACAAGGACGTCGATTTACATTCGAGATTACAATTTTACCGGAAAGGGCCACCTACCCTTGTAATTTTAATTTCAGATCACATCCTACTATCGTCGTATTTTACGCATGTACTTATTCGAGTAAACAATTCTCACTGTAATTTATTTCCATCTAGCTCGAAGTTATTTTTCTCTACACCTACGTCTTCGAACACCAAAACTATTTCACGGTCCTGGAAGCGTACGTGGTTCACCTTGCTCTCGCGATTGTTCATAGAAAACGGTTCTTGAGTGGACGCCACCCCCGGAAACGATTCTTCTTCGTCTCTGTCACCGTTGCATTTCCATCGTCCGTGATTCTTTGAAGAACTTGAAAACTTTTTCGTCCAATTGCCGCCGTTTCAATGCCACTGTCACGAGTTTCACTAGGACCAGGAAGGGAGGAGGGATCCCGTGATCTAGAACGCGGCTGATTCGCGGTCGCGTTGTAATAGATTCAAGGACCGTCGATCGACGATATATCGGTGACACCGTCGGATCAGGAATCTTCTCGTACGATTCATTTGATCGTAATTAAAACACCCACGCTGATTTGATCGCCGGGGATGGAGATTCCTGAGGCGCCGAAGCGCCATCGAGGATTATGCGAAGGTGACCTTCGTGCCAAGGACAAGGGACACGCGCGTCTCGCGATCATTCGATTTACACCTCCCCCCTGGGGGGATCATTTTAACCCTAAAATTGGCATATCGTGTATTTGAAAAACGTAACTGGTATAGCGGAATGTTTCTATACTTACAATACAAAAAATAAGAAACGACTTATTTAATTTTTTGTAAATCTCAGTATGAAACATATTATATTTGAATGCAATGATTTTCATCGGAAGAAAACAAAAAATTAAAAATAATAAAATCGGAAGAAATCGTCTTGAGGTTCAGTGACTTTTTCCAAAATTACTTCTAACGTAATTTAATTCTCTCCACTCGACTTTAATCCGCGAAAATGGTACTTTTGCGTGTTCGTATATCGAGGTGCACTCGACAGAGGGTCTATTGCGAATGAAGTTGAAATGAACGAAAGGGGAACACAGGCCAAAAGAAACGAAGCCACTTTGTTGGCAATCGTAACGTTGATTGCAAAAGGTTCGTTTCTCTTGTTGCCGAAAGGACTATTGATTTTATATGCGTTCTACAGTCGTCGGGGAAAGTATAATTTCGCCACCCGGGAATCAGAGACGTAATTTTAAGGTAATTGCCTTTATTAACGATTTATTAACACAGTTATTTTTTGTCGAGCCTTCTCGGACCGCGGTATAAATTATACATTATTACATACATATGTTACACTTTCTTACAGTGGTTTTAAATATATTAATTATATTCATTGACAGCAACAGTGAGCGTTACAGAATTCGTGTATTCGTAGAGCCTACGTGTACCCAAATGAGCGATATCGTTTAAAACATAATAAATAACATCATTCGAATGAAAATGATATTTTCACTCTGATATGAAAAGAATGACGAATATTTTTTTTTTAGTACTCGATAAATTTATATGCATAATAAATAGTTCCATCGCAAAACCAACTTTCATGAAATGTTTCTAATCGTAAAAATTCTATTTATGAAGTTAGTCGATGAAAAGATCTTTTAACCTAAAATTACATGCTTTTCTCAATGCAAAAGAGATCGACGACAACGGTGCTCGAATACACGATATTCACAAAACTTTCGACGCAAAATGTATACCGTACTGTACACGACACATTTACATGTTACAAGAACATTTCTATACGATAAATAATATTCGAATCGCGTAGAAAAAGTAATATTAACGAATAGAACACGTAGAAAAAAGAATAATAATAATGAATCTCAAAGTTCCGATAAAGCTTCTCGCGTATATACAGGAATGAGTGACTTTCGAATTAATGACGAGTACTTTGGTAACGTGATGACACATTTTGCGTAATTATACCTTCGCGTAAAACAGGAAGTAACTCGCGAATCGCGATCGTGTTGTTCCCACTTGGTGCTTCGTTTTCCTCGCATCTTCGGGCACAAGATTATTGGTAACTTCTTAAAAATATATCTTTCATCAGTCGCACGAAATCCTCCTCCTATACACAACGCGATCAAAACTAAGCATCGATCAAATTTCAGGCACACGCATCTTGCACAAAAACATAATTGGAGAAATAAAAATGTATGTAAAGCCAATACTCTGCGTGGAAAGAAATGGCCAAATTAACGGTGCAATCAACGAAGAAATGATTCTTCGTTCAAACGATAAACAAAAGCGTAGAGTAATATTTTATCGTTCGAGTCTTCATTTTTCCTTAAACTTTTAATGCTTTTTGAAATACGTAAATGTTCGAATAACAGAGGAATTCAATGAGTCCCTACGTTCGTGCAGTGAAGAGTTTTCAGGTAATTGCAACTTGAAAGACAGGTAGGTGTTTCAAGAGTTGAGCACTGTTAATTATTTCTAGTTCTGTCCTTTCGTATGAGAGCAAGAAATTTATAAAGATCCGTACCACCAGTTTTAGAAAATAGTGGAGACGACTACGCGACAACTTGAAGGGCACTCTATGCGATACCACAGCATTAACTGAACATTTACATCATCACAGTTGTCGGTGAATCGAGATTTCTCGCGTATGGCTGCATCGTACATTAATGTCTCCGATGCTTTCCTGAAAAATTCTACAAAACAATTTGTTACATTAAATAAATTATCTCAAACAGCGCCTGGTGTAACGTCTGATAACAATTGATTATATTCAGAGTCAATCTTGAGAATCATCGCTGAATTTCCATTAATTGCAAAAAGAATATCGATAAGACAGAAATCACGAGGTTCGTTTCAAACTGTAAAATAAACGCCATCTTTGCGATAATCGTTGCTTCAAGTTTGTGTGTCGTTGTCCCGGAAATAGATCGATCCACGTTTCGATCATCATCCCTACATCAAAGGACGAACGGCATTCGCCAAGACAGGAACAAAACCAGCAGAGCTGAAAAACTATCCTCGCGGTGCAACGCGGATGATCGAAGAAAATTAATCTTATCGCTCGTTACACTCGGAAGAACGCGCAAGAAGGGACAACCCTTGGAGAACGTGGGCATAGCCGCGTACCTTGCACGGTGTATGCTATGGACAATAAGAAAACTCATGGCCAGGAAGACTATTATCTTGCTCCCCCTCGGAAGTTCTCCCTCTACTGGGTCTCGCTATCGTTAATACAGCATGTGGCTGCTTCTTGTTGCACCTGCAAAAGAAACGTGTCGCGTATTAAACAAACATCTCTAATTTTTCGAAGGTATTATATACAGGGTGTCTCACCCGATTTTGACATCTTGATTTTCTCGCTATTGTTACTCGTAACAAAAAATGTTTCAGCGGAGGCTTGAATGGCATCGAGTGGAGCATATTCTGATGTTATTAGTGTTTTCGTGAGTGGACGCGTAAAGGTCATATAAAGGTCAACTTTGTTTTTTTAAATGGAACGAGGTATTTTTTAATACATCAATCGATTCAGCTGGACAATCGTTATAAAAAAGTACTAACTGTGTAACGTCGAAAAAATAATAGTTCAGGAGATATTTCAATTTAAATAATTCAAAATTTTAACGTTTATTTAGTAGTTACTATCCAAATAAAAACTAACTATTCTTATAATTCAATAGCTTTTTTTATAGCATAAGGCTATTTCATAAGAATTTCATTGTATTTCATTTTAAGATATCACTAGCCTTAGTGCAGGTCTTAGTACAACAGTAATAGTGTTTTAGAATTATTTAAATTGAAATATCTCCTGAACTACTAATTTTTCGAGGTTACATAGTTAGTACTTTTTTATAACGATTGTCCAGCTGAATCGATCAATGTATTAAAAAATACCTCGTTCCATTTAAAAAAACAAAGTTGACCTTTATATGACCTTTACGCGTCCACTCACGAAAAAACTAATAACAAAAGAATATGCTCCACTCGATACCATTCAAGACTCCGCTGAAACATTTTTTGTTACGAGTAACAATAGCGAGAAAATCAAGATGTCAAAATCGGGTGGGACACCCTGTATATACGTGTTGCTAGGTCGAGCCATACCTGTTTAAACGGTCTGATCCTTTCATTTAATTTAAATAATTGTCAAACGTAAAAGAATTATTTTCTAATTTGTAATGGGGGATTTACCATGAAGGCTCGACGTATTTTGCAATGAACTCGACAGTAAGATCTCAGTTCCAGGATGTTCATGTATCACCGTCTCGGTGATGTTGTTTTCCGCCTCGGAATGGGCGCGACGATGCTCGCGCGCGGTCCCCTCGTTTTTTCGTCTCTTCTCGGTCCCAGCGCAACAACGTTGTTCCCTCTGCAACGTCATTTCGTGGGCGTAAACGAATTCACCGTTCGAGAAGGAGTTGAAACGCTGTCGCCTCCTGGAGGTAGCCTGATGCGCACGTCTACCGACGATGCTCGAAGTGTCGTGGCCACCGCGAGAGACTTCGTTTCCCCGTTCGCGACGTTGCAAGGATTTCAAAGAGTCCTCGTAACCGCTATTACGGAAACAGAGACGAAGATCTGCGTGTAATAGACAGGGTGAAAATATTGTATTCAGAAATATGCATTTCTTTCGCTAGGTGTCAACGCTATCCATCATATTTTTCATTGTAAAAGAGCCAATTGTTATTAGAGGGGTTAAGAACTTGTCGATTAAACGATCAACCCTTAAGAAAGTGGTAGAAGAGTCGAAAAAATCTCGTAAGAATCTGATATATTCGAATCGAGGCAAGATTTGGTGTGTTTTCTTTCTAACGCCAACGGGAAACCGAGACATTGTTGACAACCGAGATCTCGGTTCACCCGAGATTCTCGGATAAACCTAGAATTTCAGCAGAAGCGATGTCCCAGATTACAATCGTGATTCTGGAGGAAAACCATCGAAAGGAGAATTCAATTTTTATTTGAAGTTCTCGGATGTACCGAAGGTTTGGGAAGAAGATTTCAATTTATATTTACACCTCTTGCAAAAATCTTATCCATTAAATGAATAAATAAAAATCAGAAGACTCGGAGGTATCGAATTCGACTCGATCAGTGAAAAAAAAAGACAAGATCGTCGCGTATTTCGAAATTCTCGTAACTCCAACTCGGATCTACCGGCATTGTCGAAACTCTGACCAACGCGCGCGTGAATTTCTCGCGGTGATATGGCCGGTCGATCTGTCCCGAACTCTTTTCAATTTAGATAGCACGAATAGCTCCGTAAGTAATTCGACTTACTTGCTGCTCTCGCCGCTGGAGGGGCTCGACGAGTGACTGCAGTGGCAGGAGGCGCGCGCCACGATCCCAGAATCCTGACCGCTGGAATGCAAGGACGTCGCGGATGCCTCGAGGCCTTTCGGGGTCCCTGTCGTCCTCCCGGCGTGCTTACTACTACCGCCCGTCCTGCAACCACCCCCAGCTCTAGCATCGACATCGCGAAAGATATGGAAATTCCCTGATACAATATTTGGTATATTGCAGACCGACCTCGCCGGCCAGGGGAATGCTTTCATAATAAATGCATTCCCTTCTGTCGCGGTTTTATTTAATTCCTCGGCTGCCACGGCTACTTCGGCCGCGTTGCTCGCGTTCCCTTCCAATGGGACTAAGACCTGCTTAAATACTATCGACAGACATCAGAAATTGATCCCGTATCAATTCGCTCGATGGAATTATTCCAAACAATTTTCGACCTATCCAGACGTTCGATCGTATCGATCGTTCCTCTTAAGTTTAAGGAGACCAGACAGCCAAATTGAGCCTCTTTGTAAGGGCTTATTAAAAAAAAAAGCGGTTAGGTATAAATAATTTTCCTTTTACACGATATTTTGGTAGCTTAGAGTGTATACGAATACAATATTTTTATTGCAAACTGTTGTCAAACAACCATATAGGGAGCACTTAAACAAATACAAATTATTTTTATTTTGATAGAAACGAATCAAATGTACCAAACAACAAAATACTCGGAATAACCCTTGCTTTGCACTGAACCTATTTAAATGTTAAATACGGAAAATGGAAATTTTATCCTTATTTTTTACGACAACGTCATGAAACCGTAGCATTTAAATTCTGAATAGTATTATTTTGAAAAAAGAATCAAAGAAGAAATTAATTTTCTGACTGCCTGATCCCCTTAATACCTGTTAGCATCCTATGCCTGAAAGACGTATCTCTTCAATTTTTAACACAATTAATGCGTTCACGTCCTTTGTTATTTATTCAGATTTCGTTATGAAAATGTACGAAATATAGTCCTATTTGACCCAGGATGACAGAACTGATCGATAGTAAAGATTTTTGTCATTGTCTCTCTTCGTTATTAGGAAACTTTTAAATATGGAAACTGATACGTATTAATGAGTATGTCGTTGGATTGGTCCCATCGCTGGCGTTCGTTTATATTCCCGGATACGGGACCCCTGTTGGCTGACAGGTCGGCAACAATGAGCGATTGTTTCCAGTCACGCGCGCGTGGAAGGTTGCTCGACTCCTCGCGAAATTCATCGGTTGTCGTTGTTTTCGATAACTCGATTTGATTTCTATCTGTCATCGCAAGCATGGACATTACAGTGATTGTATACTATGGCTAGTTGCTGTATACCTTCACTATTCTTTTCAGTGAATGTTTTTTAAAATGCTCGTTTGTCTGCGAAGCATTCACATTTACTAATAATCGTATATAGTCATGAATTTCTTTCATTTTACTAATTGGGGTCAGTCAAAATATTTTTACACGCGTATTAAAAGTATTCTTCACTATCATCATTAACATTCAGTAACGTGTACCGCTTAGCTTAGATGTCTAACTATTGCTCGTTATTTCCACTTGCATTAATGTTACTGAACAGTGGCAATGATATAGAATTTTTTGTTCTTCGTCAATCATATAGTATCCTCTAATTAAAACTAGTAGGAGCGAGTAATGCATAACATTTGATAAACTAAAAAAGCTTTATCAGTTAAATAAATAATCAAATATTTTGAATTAACTTTTCGTTAGTAGCGTTTCTTTCAAATTGCATTGATCAAAATTATACGAGAAACTTACATCGTCAGTGTTTGCAAACACTGGTATAAGTAGAAAGAATGATACATAGTCAGGCGTGTTGATCAAAGCTGGCTGGCCACAAACCGGATAATACTACTTACACCATTGGCCCGCGAAAATATCATAATTGCATTTCAAAATATAAAAATTCGTGTTCTGTCTAATATTATTCTCAAAATATCACTAATTGTTTATAACTGTTAAATTACTTTTAACTTTGATCTTTCAAACTATATAATCACTCTCAAATATTAAACGATTACAAACACACGACCGTTTGCGAATAATTCATTAAAATTAATTTTCAAATTATAATTGAACACTTTGTCTATAATAATACAATGTCGCGCCAGTATTGCAAGACTAACAAGGTCTTGATGGATCATCGACAGAACGCGATTCTGCGTACTCAAACGGTTAATACGTTTGTGAATGAGGCTTCGGGGAATGCCTAACAAAATTGTAAATGTCAATTGATGGACTTACGCGTGAAAGCGACCACAGTTGGCTCCGTGTTCGCAGATACTCTGTCGCCTCGTCATGTCGGTGCAGAATGGCTCAGGGTCGTAGTGAAGGCCGTCGACGAAGGTCGGGAAAAGCGACGGCTTCTGCAGCGTCGCGGCTGGATCTGCCAATGCGAATCCAATCGGGCTGGTCGTCGAGAACATTGCTTTCTGCCGACGTTTGCGACTAACGGGTGAAATTCAGGAACTCCGTTTAGAGCGGACGTCTCGTGGCGCGTTCGTCAAGAATTAATGGAAGTCTCGGATATACGTGCTAGTTGATTTTCATACTATTTTTGCGTGCAAATGAAGCTGGTTCTAGTGCAACTCTCTACGGTGTCATTAAAATAGGATTTTTATTTTTTAAGAAAAAACTATTCAAAAAGAAAGGAATAGTTAACCTTCTGTACAATTGGCTGTTAAAAAAAATCTGTTTTAAAATAATTTAAAAAGATGATTCTTCATGAAAAAATAAGTAAAAAATGTGTAATGAAATTTTTTGATATGTTGCTTCGTTTCCGAGAAAATAAAGAAAGTTTCTTAAATACGCGTCCGACCATAACGCGTTATATTCACTTGCATTGGTGTTCGTGAACATTGATAGTAATGCAGTATTCTCTGTTTTCCGTCCATCTTATTATCTTCTAACTAGATCATACTAGTTGAAACAGATAATACTATAACGCAGCCAGTTTGGAAACAAAGTGGAACTTGCCTCTAATGGGCAGACACGTTAGCCAACTAGTATCGTCGGACGCGTGCTCTACGAATTTTGAGAATCGATTATCTCGGAAGCTGTGTCTCATAGGAAAACATTTATTTTTACATTTTTACACTTGATTTTACCGTAATATCCGACACACCATGTAATAAACAATATTGTATAAGTAGGTTCGATTTATCAATTTTTTGTAATCGTTGTTCCATACTAAAATATTTGGCACACAATTCAGTTCTAAAATCGCGGGACTAAAAGCCGGTGATTTTTGCGGCCACTCTTTGTTTAAGTTTTTCACGAATTGGCCATTGGGTTCGATCCAACAGCTTTTATACAGTGTTCGTCACAAAATTTTCTGATTCAAAGCTCATAATTTAATAAAATTGATTTACAAGCACAAAGGATTAGTGGTAGCACAAACAAAAATGGTACAAGGAAATATTTTAATATTGAGTTGTGAAACTTTTAATTTTCAATATTATTGCTACTATTATGTTTCTTTCTGTAACACTAGAACTAGTTGTATTAGTTCAAATAAAGTAAAACTTTTCTCAATCGTCAGTAATAACAAAAGATATTGTATTACAGAAATTGTAAAAAATTATAAAATTCCATCCACTATTTCGAAGTTTCATAGCACGCTGAACATGTATTCAGAAAAAAAAGGAAATTGCGTAGATCACTTGTAACTAACTCTAATCAATTGAGGATTAAATTCATGAAGAAAAGCGTTGAAGAGCATCTGAACTTTAATGAGCAAAACTTTGAGAACGTATTGTTCGGGTTAATGCGAGAAAAGAAATTGCTATGTACAAGATGATCAACAGCGTTTTATTAAAAATTATACGACAGCGGGATATTAACAACAAGCAGGAAACTTTTAACAAGAAACTAGTCTCTAGTAAGGTATTAAGTGTTGCAGTCCTTCAGAGTAGATTTTTACTTATCAATTAATATTTACTCCTCTAATTTACTATGATATTTTTCTCCCAAACAATGTTGATTATTTATTAAATATTATTATATTACTCGCGGTCTATTATAGTGACTACAAAATTTACTGTGTTTAAAGGCTTCGAATCAAAGGATTACACTTCGCTTATAGTTACTTCTTCCGTCAAAACCCCAGAAATTAGTCAGCCAAGCTAAGTAGTTAAGGATAAATCAGACGTAATGCGGATCATGCAAAATCATGTATCTCGTACCGTTTATTCCGGCGAACACAAGTGACGCAGAGGGCTGTGACGAAGGCGCCCACAAAGACGACACATCCGAGAACCACAACACCCACTTCGAGGGTGGATAACAGGTAACGTTGATTACCTCGACGCGGAGCGCTTCCGGCGATGTCTAGGACATCGTACTCGTCCAATTCGCGCTTTATCTCCATCTTTTTTGTGTGAAACACGCTGACGAAACAAAGAAATTAATTGGAATTAAAAATTAAGTAGAATAAAATATAACATACTAAAAATTGAGACTTACGACCACTATGTTTTTAATTACTATTAAGTCCTAATTCGGTCAAGTAATATTTGTTTAATTAGAATTGGTAAGAAAGTTCGATTACTTACTTGTGTAAGGTGTCCATGTCTATCATGACATTTAAATGGGGATCGATGGCGTAAAGATAAACGTCGGTACTAAATACGAAGAATCTTTATTATATGATATTCAATTCTCTTGTTTATTTATAAAATTGTTAGTTTGAATCACTTACGACATGGTATCGATCAAGTTCTTTTCGATATGTGGCTCCAACTTTCTCACTCGAACGTCCAGCCCAGTTACATTGTGCAGTACTCTGAATTAAATTAGCAATAATTTTGGTTTTCCACTGTATCGATTCTTCGAGTAATATTTAAATTTTCTACCATTATAAAGATTATAAATTTATTTCTGTGAAACATTTTTATGTGGCGTACCACTAATCTTCCGTCGAATTTAAGTTAAACTACTAGAAACAATCGCGTCACAAGTATAAACTCGAAATTCATTATACTTACGCAGTGATGTTCTCGAGTTGAGGCTCTATGTCCATAGGTCTTCGGCCTACGACCATCACAACCTGTTTTTGATCATCCAGTACGTACACCTTTGGACAAACGACAGCAAATAATAAATTAGATTACAATAAGCAACAATATTCCCCTTATTCTTATTTATGAATTCATAATTATTATATTATCGAAGAACCCTTCATTCTGGCAAAGTTATTTATAATGTATTTGAACACCCAGGTATTACTATTATTTTTATTAACAATGTTATTACTCAATACTTTTCATTCGATTTTTCTTTTATTAATTTTTAATCTGTCGGTCAACCTCTTAACGTACATAAACTTTTTCAATCGAAGTTCACGTGCTGGTTCGTAACTTCCATTCCATGTAATAGATTTTAAATACATTCGTAAAAAAACACAGACTTTTGTAATTACTTCGTCCTCCCAAGGATTTTCAGACATTTTTAAAAACTGTTCTCTCGGAACAGATATTCAAAAACATTTGTAATAAATGTTCTATGAAAACGACACTGTAATTTTTAGAAATTTGAAATATATATCTATTTAATCAAGAATGGCTTTAAAAGTATTACAAAAGTTATAGAAAACGTAAGATACTTTATATTTTATTTAATTTTCACGTTTATTCGTATGTTTACTAAAAAATAAATTGTGAAAATGAGTGTGCACAGAAATTTGTCATATTTTTGATAAACTCAACAACGACAAGGTTAAATCTTTGTTACCGAACGTCGAAGAATCGGTCCGCGTTCGGTAGATTTCCGGAATCGAAATCGTGAAGCGGATCAATGGACGGTTAATGCGTTGAGATTGTCGAATGAAAAGGGACGCGGTGCGACGAGGAACTTACGAAGACATTGGCGATGCTGCTACGTCCATTTTCGGCGCCCCGTCTGTCGGTGGCCTTGACGTCGAAGCCGAAAACGCGTCCAGCGTCACGGCCAAAACTCGCCACGGATCGTACTTGACCGCTCAGTGGGTCAATGGCGAATCGTGGAGCGTCCTCCCGGCCAAGAATTTGGTACCGGATCTCGGCGTTTGCACCCTCGTCTGGATCTTCCGCCTGTGGGGTGATCAATTGCATCGATTGTTCACTTTTTAATCCGACAACGAGGGCAGAATTTACAATCAAAAAAGTTTGAAAGATGCTCCAAGTCTTGATAAAACTAATATAATTAGGAATGCTAATTTTGGTCAAAGGGATATTTCCAATTTTATTTAGGTAATTAAATATCGTCGACGTAAATCCTATCGTAGCGTAATTCGACACGCTATGCTGTTTGTAGGGGCTCTGGCAAATGTGTCCTAGCAGTCCGTGGCCAGACGCCTAGTCCTTCAAAGCGACAACCGGTCGCCATCGAGAAAATCCGAGACAATAGTTCAAGTTTCATTTAAGATATTTTACAAAAGTAAAAATCGTCACTTTCAACCATCCCTAATACATACGTATTGCTCTAAAAGCCCAAATAAATATTTTCTATTATACAATTTTTTAAGTTATTATAAAAAACAAATAAAATACAAGACATCCTGTTCTTGTTAAGGGGACCAGACGGTTTCAGAAGATTTTAAAAGAGATATGTAATAGTTACAGAAATCAAAACTTTCTCCAAACTTTAAACGCGATATTCTCGAAAACTTGTTTAAAAAAAAAATAAGTTCAGATTGATATGAATTTTTTTTGTATACGTAAAAAATGTTCCTTTATACACTGAACCTCAGCATGAACTTGTAAAAACTTCTAATTTCCGGGGAAATAATTTGCAAGACAGGTTTTTTATTTTAAAATCAACATTTTCTGTATTTAATGCGCTATTTTCATGATTTCCATTTTTTTAAATGTTTAAATAGGTTCAGTGCAAAGCAGGGATTTTGCCGTTCGGTACGTTCACACTGCATTACACTGTAAAATTAAGATAATTTGCATTTGTCTCGCTACATGGTTGTTTAACAAGATTTTACAATAAAAATATTGCGTTCGTATACGTTCTAAGGTACCAAAGCATCCTGTAAAATGAAAATTATTTATACCTAAACGTCTTTTTTAATAAGCCCTTGCAAAAACGCTCGATCTGACTGCTTGGTCCCCTTAAAGGAAACGGCCCGTGCGATGTTAATTCACGCGAAAGTCTTTTTATAATTTCTCCTTCTAAAACTTCCATTAGAAAATCCATCGTATGAGAATCATTCGCGATAAAAGGCGAGAGAACCCGGTCGCCTAGCCTCGTAGTACACATGCAGAAGGACGAGAAAGGGTACAAAGGAATAAAACGAGGGAAAAGAAAAAGAGTAAGGAAGCCGCGGCTTCTGATGTAACGATGAAAGGGGTGGAAAAAAAAATATAAGAGGCGACACGAGAACCGAAATGAATTAAAACCTGGGTCACTCTGAGCCGTCTCGCGCACACAGTACCAACGATACACCGAATATAGACGCGTGCATACGTACCTCCACTTTAACGACCTCATACCCATAATGGGCAGTGGTGGGTACAGCGGCGAGGATGGGTCGGCCCTTTGACTTGAATCTGGGCGCATTGTCGTTAACATCCTTCACCCTGACGACGACCCTGGCCTCGTTGGGGGCTAGACCATTCAGCCTTTCACCGACAACCGGGTAAATCATCACGGGCATCCCGCGACCAATCTTCACCCTGTCGACTCTGACCTTGGCCTCGTATCGATCGTTTACCTCTCTGTCCACGTCCATCATCAGATACAGCGAACCGTTCCTCGGGTCGATCGAGAACCGTTCCCTGGCGTCGGTGTCATCAGCCACCACGCTGTACCTGATGTACTCGCTCCGATGACCGTCCACCAGGTCCAACTGAGCGATCTCCATGGGCACGGGGACGTTCTCCTCGACTTCCAGCTCGTAGTATCGGTGTCGAAACGACGGTGTCCTGTGCACCTCGTTCTCGGCCTCATCTCGATCCTCGTCCACGTTTAACACCGAGACCACGACGACAGCGGTGGATGTCAGACTTACCGGTGACCCTAGATCGCTGGCGGTGACCAGCAGACGATGACTCTTCCGGGTCTCGTAGTTCAGAATACCGATCGTCGTGACGAGACCCTCCTTGCTGTCTATGGCGAAATACTGCTTGTCGGGATCTTCCTGGTGGATCAGGTCGAAGAGGATCAAACCGTTCCCATTCCCGGTGAAGTCCGTGTCGTTGGCGTACACTTTAATCACGTGGCTGCCCATCGAGCTGTTCTCGAAGACCGACGCGAGGTACACGGGCAGAACGTCTCCGTGGTCGTTCGTCTCGGTCTCGTCGTAGCCGTAGAACGTGGGCGGATTGTCGTTGACGTCCAACACGTTCACCTCGATCTCCACGGTGGAGCTGAGTCGCGGCGAACCGTTGTCGCGAGCCGTCACGAAGAGGCGATGGGCGCTCACTGTCTCCCTGTCGAGGATCCCACTGACTCTGATTATACCCTCGTAAGGGGCCACGTCGAACGTCCTCGTAACGTTCTCGGGATTCTCCAAGTTCTCGTTGCCAGACGTCAGCTCGTAGCTGACGTTCGCGTTCGAGCCGAAGTCGGAGTCAAAAGCCCTAACGGTACCAACGGCGTAGCCAGCGTAGGTGCCTTCGGGGACATCGAAGGTGTACCAAGACTTGTCGAAGATCGGTGGATGGTCGTTCACGTCCACCACGTGGATTCTGATGGTGATGTTGTCGGCCAAGCCGCCCGAATCCCTGGCCACCACGAACAAACGAATATTTCTTTCCGCCAGCAGCCCTCTGGCCACCGATATCTCCGCTGACCTTGGATCGAGATGGAAATATCTACGGTTGGTGGTGTCGAATCGTCGCGAACCGATATCGTCGCCGGATGTCGTCTCGTTCCCCAGGCTGTACGTTATCGCGGCGTTCGCACCCTCGTCCTTGTCCTCCGCGAGCAACCGTATTATCGGCGCGCCGATCGTCGCGTTCTCTGGAACGAGAAGAAGAGGCGAACGACGGCTACTGGGACGCTGACTTCCGGCGAAGGAATCTCCCATTTCGAGGGCATCGTTCCCTTCCAACACCGCCTCCATATCTGGCTCGTTCGATACACGAACCCCCTGATCCGGCAGGACGATCATTCTGATAAAGGCGGGCGGGTTATCGTTCGCGTCCGTCACTGCTATCCACAGCTCCGACTCCGACGTCAAACCACCTGCAAAGTTTTTTCGACTCAAGTAAATAATCAATTTTAATCCTTAGGTGAATTATTGGGATCCCCCGTTAAAAAAATTGTAATGGGAGATTCTAGAGGCCAAAATAAGATTTACGTTTAAAGTTCCACGCGTAGAACGGCAATCTGCGAACAACTGTGTGCAAGCGATAGTGGTTCTCTTATACAAATAATAAATGATCGGCTTTAATTTTCAAAATATTTGTAAAAAACTTTCGGTATCATTACATTGTATTCGACCACCTATGTTAGAAATAATTGAATATTTTATCACAGGATATAATTTTCAGATCAATTTTTTCGCCGAGAATACATATTATATTTGCAATTATTTTTTACCATTATTGCGAATCGAAGTCTAGAATACGCGATCATGTTTAACCGCCGAACACTGTTTCGCCGTTTCAGCCACGTAAAACTTCGCAACTGTGTTCCACCGTACAACAATATGGCGCTAGATACATTTGAGGGTACAAAAGTTTCACCTACTCTTACGAGAACTTGACTCGAAAGTTTCGTCGTGAATGTCAGCAGGAAAGGAAGAACTCACCACTGTCTTTAGCAACAAGTTTGAAGCTATAGTTTGCTTTCGCTTCCCTATCCAGGGTGCGATCATCGATTCCCTCGAAATACACTAAACCCGTCGTTGGATGGATTCTGAATAGCTCGCTGCCCGCTCCGTACAAACTGAACACGAATATCTGATTGACTCCTTCGTCTTTGTCTGTGGCCGCGATAGGGTTGGACAAATTCACTTTCGTGCCTGGAGGGCTGTTCTCGAGTATTCGACCCTCGTACAAGGGCAACGAGAACATCGGTGGATGATCGTTTTCATCGATTACAATGACGGTCACCTAAAACGATGAGTAAAATTAAAAGACAGGCGTTTCATCGAACTTTTAAAAAACTAACTCTTCCACAATGGCGCAAAATTAGTTCATTTATTTATGTATAAAATACTAGAGATAGTATGGAGCTTTTATTTTTGTAAGAAACGCTAGAATTATTTCAGTCTATTTATGAAAGTGACATTAAACTTATACTCTGCTTTGAATTTTTTAAATTGACAGAAAGGTAAAGATGTATATTTGTATTGGCTCCTTGAAAAGAGATTATTAAATATTGAAATTTAATTGAAAGTAAGTTCGAACAGTGTGCAAACCGTAAATAATACACAGTGTCGTACGTATTACAGGATATATATGTCATAAATAAGAAAAGAAATATATGAACTCTTAAGAGTATTAATACTGTCGCAGAGATTTTGAAATAGCTTCCCTTATATTGAAACTTATCCCTTAAATCATCGTACAAGAAAGTAACGCGATATTAACTCACAATTCAGTTATGTGGATCGAAGAATATACGTATATCAAATTCTTATGTATTGTAAGATTCGAGATACACACTTGTGGCTCGAACATGATGGATGAACCAACTTACAACGAGATCAGGAAAAGAACTGCCGGAGATAGAATCGTGGTCCAATACCCGTATTTTCGTGCATAAGAAATGGTAGACATTCGTATAAAAAGAATTTATGTCTCTTATTGTCGACTGCTCCACATATCTGCCAACATTTCTAAGAAGAAACTCACGCAGTTTCCTGAATTGAGATATGAATCCAAGCCGCGTTACCTATCCGGCCTGTCAACAGATTCTTTCTCCCCCAGTTTAATATCTAAATGGATACCACCCGCACTTTTGTTGAAATACAGGAATAGAAGAAAGAAACTACTTTGTTTTCTTCGAATCATAGTATTATAATATCGCGAAGCCTCGCAAAATGTCTAAAGACAGAAATTAAAAAAAAAGAAAAGTTAACTCGGTCGAATGATCGTGGTGGTACAAACTAAAGACGAGTCTACCCATTATTAGATGTTTCAAAATATTATAAAATTTCATCCAAGTATTAGTTTACAATAATATTACTTAGAAATAAATACTTTTGCCTTGCATGTAACAGAAAATAATTGAAATTAATGTTTACATTTGTGTTGAAATAAAGTATACTTAACGAAAACATTGAATTCAAACGTGTGATTAGAAAAACGGCAGAACAAGAACAATTGCTTTAAATAATTACGATCGGGGTTTGAAAATATTGATAAAAATTGCATTGAAAATTTGATAAATAGCATTCCACGGTGTTTAGAAGCAATTATTGCAGCATAGAGTGGTCATACTAAATATTGATTTTACATTTTTCTATATTTTATTACCTGTCCTCTTATTTTTGTCCTACGGCAATTAATCAACATTTTCGTTAAATTTACCTTATTTACACAAATGTAAATATTAATTTCAATTATACAGGGTGTCTCACCCGATTTTGACATCTTGATTTTCTCGGTATTATTACTCGTAACAAAAAATGTTTCAGCGAAGGCTTGAATGGCATCGAGTGGAGCATATTCTGATGTTATTAGTTTTTTCGTGAGTGGACGCGTAAAAGTCATATAAAGGTCAACTTTGTTTTTTTAAATGGAATGAGGTATTTTTTAATACATCAATCGATTCAGCTGGACAATCGTTATAAAAAAGTACTAACTATGTAACGTCGAAAAATTAGTAGTTCAGGAGATATTTCAATTTAAATAATTCTAAAACACCATTACTGTTGTACTAGTCTAACGTTGGTAAACAGAGCTAACGTCTTAGTGAGGTAGTAATGATGCCTTAAGAATTTAAATAATTTAAATTGAAATATCTCCTGAACTACTAATTTTTCGACGTTACATAGTTAGTACTTTTTTATAACGATTGCCCAGCTGAATCGATTGATGTATTAAAAAATACCTCATTCCATTTAAAAAAACAAAGTTGACCTTTATATGACCTTTACGCGTCCACTCACGAAAACACTAATAACATCAGAATATGCTCCACTCGATGCCATTCAAGCCTCCGCTGAAACATTTTTTGTTACGAGTAATAATACTGAGAAAATCAAGATGTCAAAATCGGGTGAGACACCCTGTATATTAAATAATCTATGTACCATGAAGGTATATAATATATAAAATTTAAATACATATTAATTATACTATTTTGGTTAAATTTAATTTATATTTATTTCCCTTCACCTTTACCTAAATACCAATGACATAAATAAAATGAAAGCGTCATAATTTTTTCCGCCAGCGTAGAAAGTTCCCCCATACCCCGAGTGTTCGGTACGAGGGTAGCTAAAGTGCATCCGCGTCTCTCTCGTGTCCCATTCTCAGACTCAAACGGAATCAATTCCCCGCCCCTTTGAACCCGGAAAAGAAATTCCCCCGAGTGCCCTTTAACGAGTTCGACGTACTCGATCGCCTCCCGGCGACGCCCCTTTCGTGGGACGGTTCGCCGACAGTCGGTTCGAGGCGAGTTAATTATCGAGGGAAAACTTACTTGGAAAACTCCGACCCCGCGGGGACTCTCAGCAATTACGGTGATGCTATAATTCTGCCTGGTCTCGCGGTCGAGACCTTCCGGCGCGTACAGGGCGCCGTCCTCGCTGATGGAGATGTCGGGAACGTCTTGTTGATTGACGATAAAAAACCTGGTGCCGGTGGATGTGGTGCCGGTGCTATTCTGCGGTAGCACTTGCCCGATGTACGTGCCAGGAACGTTTTCCTTGGCGTGGAAGACCAGAGGAGCGGTGGTCGTTCCCCTGCAATCAACGGCCATCGAGTTTCCGGGTAAGCAAACAGAACTCCGACCCGGGAGCCGTTGACTCCTGACCTTTCGACGCGTTTGCTCTCGAGCTCGCGAGGCGAAATCAACCTATCAATTACCCTGCAATAATCGCGCGTCTCTTGGCCGAACTTGAATTCCGTCGGGTATTAGTTTTACAACCGCCATTCTCGTAAAACGAAATCGACACTCTCTGCCCATCATCGGAAGGGAGTGTCTTATAATTCTACACTTGACATTACAAACATCACGATTTACAGGCTGTCGGCAGACGAAGCGATGTTTTTGTTCAAAATCGCGACAAAACTCATCGATACGTTGTCTATGGTTATATGTATAATAATCGCGTGTCTCTTGGCCGAACTTGAATTCCGTCGGGTATTGGCTTTACAACCGCCATTCTCGTAAAACGAAATCGACACTCTCTGCCCATTATCGGAAGGGAGGGATAATTCTACACTTGACATGCCAAACATCAAGATCTACAGGCTTTCGGCAGACGAGTCTTTGTTCAAAATCGCGACAAAACTCATCGATATATTGTCTATGTTTATATGTAATTTTAACTCGTTTTGTTAAGGTTAGGTTATGCAGGGTGAGACACGAACTAGTCTCCACGATTTTTCAGCCCCTTTCGATGGTCTGACAAAAAAATGTTTCCTATCGAACATTAATCAGTATTTAACCGACAAGAGATTGCTGTTACTTAAATTCAAAAACAAATTGATTTTCAATAAAAAAGTAAGGTCACTGTTATATTTTTAAATGGAACTAGGTATTTTTAACTTCATAGTATTGTAGGGGACGTCGAGACGAATTTAATGACCTGATACACCATGACCTTTAGATAGCATCGAAAGAAAAATTCTATCATTGCAATTGAATCGATTGCCACAATATTTGAAATTATTCGGCGATACATAACATTAGGGCCCCGCATTTGGAATAAACAAATGAACGTAAACATTACAAATGCTTATTTATTCAATTTCAGAATTGTCACACAAAATAAAAGGAAAATTTCTACAAAATGTGTAGAAATGTATAAAGAGATTCTCTAACTGAAGCTACACATACGACTTCATTACAAAGAATAGAACTTTGTATTGCAGAAGGTGGAATGCAGTTCGAACATTTAATTTAACTACTAATTACATACACCTTTTTAACATGCATGTTTTCAGTTTGATTTTGTATAAACTTTTCTTTTATTTTGTGTGTTAAGCTCTGCAGTTGAATAAATGTTATGCTATTAATAAAGTATTCGTAATGTTTACATTCATTTGTTTAGTCCAAATGCGAGGCCCTAGTGTTATGTATCGCCGAATAAGTTTAAATTTGTGATTTATTTACAATAATGTAATTTTTCTTCGTCGACGGCGTTGATCAGCGTGGAACCTAGTATTTTTTCCTTTGATCTAAAATAAAAAATCGAACGACATTTTATTCATTATAATACTACGCGTCGTATAAACTAAAATCCTTAAAAAATACAAAATTGTCGAAGATACACGGATCTAAACACAAAAAAATGATTCTTGCAATAAATTTCTAATTTAATTATGCAATAAACATAGTTTAAATAATCATTATCATGAAGGATGGTAGTTCATACGACACGTAGTACTATTATAAACAAAATGTCTTTCGATTTGTTATTCTAGATCAAAGGAAAAAAATGCTAGACTGCACGCCGATCAACGCCATCGACATATGAAATAACATTTATTATTTCACCCAAAGTCAATAAAACGTCACGAAAAAAAAATATTTGTATCGTAAAATGTTAAACAATATATGTGGAAAGTAGCGAAAAGTTTCATCAAACCCTTATGCTGTGAAAAAATTGTCAATTATCACTTCCGGTTTTACCATTTTACATAAGTCCCTCCCCTTAAAACGGTGCATTACATAAATAGATTGTATTGTATCGAATCACCTTTTTTCGATTAATCGTGATTACTAGGGCATAATAATGGTCGCCTGAATAAATTGCCTACTTATAGCGATAGAAAAATTTTAAAAAATTATTTTCCACCTTCCAAACAAATAATATGGTCCATCGACATTTTATTCCACACCGGAAGGGAGTAAATCAGGAGAAACACCCTGTACGTTATAAGGTAAAAATATACATCGTAAAAAAAATAAATGGCAAGTCTCCTAAAAGCCGAAAAACAAGCTGTAAATGAACTCAGAAATAAAATGTAACCGATAAATAAAGGTCTTGGCAGAAATTAAACCCAACGAGGAGGTCCGTTATCTGAATCGTCGATCTCGAACCTCTAATTACGAGGAGAAACAAAAGCAATCTTGACCCGCGTTTCACTTGGCGCTCGTTAAAATAAAGCACGCGTCGCCCGGTGAATAAACTGTAGTGTCACTCACTTTGTGAAAATGCCCCTCTCGTCGTTAGGGTCGACCACGTGGATCGAGACGTTGGTGATCAACATCAACTCCCTGTCGTCGGTAACGACCGCCTCGAAGTCGAACGTCGACCGGTCGAACCTCTCGATCTCGTCGACGACCGTAATCGTTCCCGAACGCTCCTCCACGGCGAAAGGAACTGAAATTCCATATGTATGCAGCATGTGTTACGCATTACCATAAGCGGTAGAATATTCTCGCGACTGATGCGCGGGAATTAGGGTTGCCTGTTAGGCGTACAGATTGCTCGTGGGATCGTTAAAGTTCGATAAGGCTAGATTTAACCGACAGAAATTATCTATCGATTCTGAATTGATTTTGTGTCCCTTGAGAATGGTGCAGAGCAGATAATAATGGGAATTCTTCTAGTAATTGTAACGTTAAATAAATACTGAAAATGCACTCAAGAAAATGAAATAGTAACTTTAGCTAATCTATAAGAACGTCACGGGCACACATTAATTATTTAACTTTCATCGAATACCTACCCCCTTCCTCGTAGCCGTGTAGAAGATCGTAGATCAAATCGCTCGTCTTTACAGCGTCGTTTAAGCGTATTTGACCGACGCTAGTGCCGACTGGCACATTGGCACCGACCCAAAACTCGTAAGGTGCTCCCACAAAGTCCGGTTCCAACGACTCTGGTCCTTAAAAATAGAAAATTTGTTCTCCTCTTTTATCCGCGTTTGACGATGTCGATGGATGAATGGGTCTATTCACAAGCACGCTTATAAATAAAATTGCCGACAATCGTTTCGATTAGAATAAAAATTCCTTCCGCTTCGGGAACGTCGCGTGAATAGTACGCGCGAAAAATATTTTAGGATTCTCTGTCTAGCAGGTGGCGCGATAAAATTTCAGCCCAAGTATGGAAAGTATCTGTGCTACATGCAACGAATAACTTGGAGATACGACGTATAGATTTCTACAGACGAGAAGACGCGTTTCTTCGTACCCTTCACCCGAATTATTGAAAAAGGTGCACATGCATGATAGCAAAATGTGTCAGTCGCGAATCAATTTTTTTTAAGGACAACCATATTCTAGGGCAATTCGATAAAACGATTTAATTGTAAATTTTCACTTCGTAAGGTATCGAATGAAATATTTGTATGTGGCCATTCGAGAAGTTGCACTTCAGATTTTAAATTCTAAAAATCTATGCTATTGTTGTGTATTTACAAGAAGAAGCGTTGCAAACACTATTTAAAGGTATACGAATTAAATTAGCTTCGTCTTTAATGTTTTACTTATTATTTGTTATATTATTAATTCAGATAAGTAGTAAATTAATTTTTTAAAAAACTGTATCTTCATTTTCTACTACATATTAATAAGCTAGGCTACATTAATTTACGTTCACCTGTAGCTTCAACAATCTTGGATTTATCAATAAACCTAGTACCATATCAACATATATCAAATCTAGTTTACAGAAATGAGTAAAACCATATTAATAATAAAAGAACATAGAACCATATCAGTGGTATTTACTTTTAGTTGAGGGGGGAGACTCATGTAAAATGGTAAAACGAAAATTGATTTTTGGCAATTTTTTTATAACAGAAGATCTTGATAAAACTTTTCGCCAGTTTCTTCACATATTCTTTAACATTTCAAGATGCAAATATTTTTTTTCGTTACGTTTCATCGATTTTGGATGAAATAATAAATGTTATTTGTTCGATTATAAAACTTTCGTTTGTGTTTTGCTTGTGACCACCTAAACATCTTTCCAGCAGATCTCTTCTGTATAAATCTCTACAAATAGGCAATAAATGTTAATGTACCTTTGGATAGAAAGGAAGAGGGTGTCGATATATTTTTCCATTTTCTACAGCCTCAACAACACGCCACTCTCACCACCGACTAGCTCCTGCTTGATTTTTTTCAAGAACGACTAACAATTTCACTTTGAAATTTTTACACAACATTCTCGAGATGTAAAAACCTTGTTTCATGCAAAAAAAAAAATCGATTCTTTTGATCCGTTACTCGAGTCTCCCCTTTAATGAAAGGGTATAATAGTCAGAAACGTAACTTATTATCGTTTAAACAGTCTTAGCTTTAAAATTCACAATATACTCTCCATTAGTCGAGTCAAATATTCTTAAAAGAAGCTCACCATTAGATCTAAAGACATCAACAGTGACAACAGCTAGGGAGAATCTCCTCTCGCTGGGATTGGCCGGTTGATCAGCGGCCTCCACGAAGATGGCGTGTCGTCCCTCGAGAATCGGACTCTCAGCGACGGTGATCATACCGGTGATCTCGTCCACGTGAAAGGGTGGCGTGCGAGCAGTCGAGTTCCCCGGCTTCTGCAGCCTGTACTTGACCATACCGTTGGGACCCAGATCGTCATCGACCGCGTGCACCTGTCCAAGCACAGCGCCCACCTTGTAGTCGCTTCTGGCGACCAGCTCGTAAAGATTTCCTGGCACAAAGATGGGATTGTTGTCGTTGGCGTCGAGCAGAGTCACTGCAACATCCACGGACGACCCGTCTACTGTTCTCGAGTCGTCTCGTCGAACCACGCTAGCCTTCCTCTCTATAGCGAGGACCTTCATTCGTAAATGGTCCCGTTTCTCGCGGTCCAGGACAGACTGGTCCTTCACGGTCAGCCATCCTGACTTGGGGTCTACAGAAAAAGCTCCCGATGGGTCACGAAGCTCGTAATCGAACTGACCGTTCTCATCTTGATCCCTATCGCGTCCAACCACCTGCAACACGCTGAAACCGTTTGGCAGATTCTCCACGATGCTGATGTTGTAGAGATCCACCTCGAATTCGGGCAGATTGTCGTTCAGGTCCAACACTTCGACCTCAACTCTGGCGACCGCCGTCTTCAGGGGGTTGTCCACCTGTGACGCGTGGATTTGCAACGTGAAGGTGTTCGAGGGTAGGTTCTTCTCTGCGTCCAGGTCTATTGCACGCTTCAGGAACAGGCTGCCGTTCTTTGGGTCCAACTGGAAGAAGCCTCGCTCATTGCCAGATATTATGTCGTAGCGGACTGGCACGTTGATGTCTCGGTCGCAATCGGTCGCCTGGATCGGAGTGCTAAAGTTTATCTGCATGAAGATCGGGTACTCCTGTAAAACACGAGCGTTGAATCGATTAGTGGTGAATTTTTAGACTGGAGAAGGTGTTTCTTTGGGAATTTACGCGGGTTAATTGATAAAGGAGGTCTTCGACAACGTAGAGAGCAGTGGGAATATAAACAAATTTTAACCTGAGTTTGATAACTTTGAATCTCTTTAATCCTTAAGTGGACTCTCAATTACAACCGAATTATTTTACTTAAAGCATTTAAAAAACAATGACCTAATGGAGGATTACATCAATTTTCAAATAATTAAAGTTGCGGAAAACATTTCAAAAATTTCTGTCGTTCCATCAAAAAGATTATAGATAACGGGATATTACTCTTATACCGCACGAAATGTTCCGCTGAATCCAATAATATGAATAAAAATTTCCAAACCCGTTTAAATTTCTATCTTAGCGGTTTCATTCGTAAATCCAAAGTTGCCGAAGCAATATAAATCGACAGAAGATTAATGTTCGACGCGTCAGAATGCGTTTTCCAAGCGAACGGCGGTACGTTCTGACCGGAGCCGGGTCTAACCTTAAACGGAGTCGCGATAAATAAATCTTCGCAAACGACTCAACGTGGCTTGATATGTTGCCGGTGTGAGTAAATCAGTTAGGTCGCAAGATCTGTTGTGATGTATCGATGTGTTCAGAAAATGAAGAGAAATCCCTTTCCTTTGGGACACAAATGTTCCTGTATTATAAAATATTAGAATCGTTCGAAATTTCATCTTGGTTGACCTTCAGATTTCTCGACGTTTGTCTCTTCTTTTAATGTACATTTTTAATCAGATAAATTTATAACGCCAGAATGAATTCAAATATAAATTTCTAATAAATCTAGAGTATAGTTTGCCTCAAATGTAATTGCCTCATCTTTGTTACATGAGTCAAAATATCCAAGTCCTCTAATATAAAATATATACTGTGTTTAAATTCCATGTCTAACAGTTTCTTTCATAAATTCACCATTTTCGAAGCAATACAAATCGACGTAAAATTAACATTCGTCGCGTTAGAACGCGCTTTCCATGTGCGTCTGCGGGTACGTTCGACTTCAACCTCGGACGTACTCGCGATAAATAAATCTTCTCGAACGACTCAGCGTGGCTGGAAAGTCGAACGCGGTGCGGCCCGCGATAAATATCTCGGTGAACAGAATTGCGCGATCATGTTTTCCATTGGAATGAAATTTATACCTCAAGGTTCTCGCGGAAGAAAGTATTAACCTTTGACATTCTCCGTAAATGCGATGTGGCACAGCCTAGATCGCGAGCGTCGCGTGTAACGCGACGTCCGTCGCGACGAGCACCGCTGCTAATGGGACAGAAAACAGTACGGAACTTTCCGAATGAATTGTTATTGCACGAGGATTCGTTTCCGTGGGAATTTACGTTAAAAGTTCGCCGAACACTTGACTGTGAAATTCGATTCGATGCTCTCACTTGCGGGTTCCCGCCAACGCGCTTTTATAGCTAATGATCGGGAAGATAATAATTTCGAAACAATTGCGAAGACTTGAGGGGCGAGACTCGTGTAAAATGACAAAACGAGAAGCGATATTTGACAATTTCTTTACAGTATAAGGGTTTGACTTTCCACATATATTCTTTAACATTTTGAGATACAAATTTTTTTTTTGTTACGTTTTATCGACTTTGGATGAAATAATAAATGTTATTCCTTATGTGCAGTCTAGAATAAAAAATCGAATAACATTTTGTTCGTAATAGTACTACGCGTCGTATGAACTAACATCCTTCATAATAATTATTATTTAAACTATGTTTATTGCATAATTAAATTAGAAATTTATTGCAAGCATCATTTTCTTGTGTTCAGAGCCATGTATTTTTGACAATTCTGCATTTTTTAAGGAGGATTTTAGTTCGTACGACGCGTAATACTATTACGAACAAAATGTCGTTCGATTTTTTATTCTAAACCAAAGAACATATCGAATAACATTTATTATTTAATCCAAAGTCGATAACACGTAATGAAAAAAAAATATTTGCATCTTGAAGTGTTAAAGAAAAGTTTGATCAAACCCTTATACTGTATAAAAATTGTCAAATATCACTTCTCGTTATACAACGTTACACGAGTCTCCCCCTTTAATCACAGAGATTGTCTAATACCTAAATTCGTACTTTTGCACGTTTATCGCAATACTAATGAAACAAATGTAAAATAATGAATTTACAATATCCACAAATTCGATTTGAAAAATCGTCCTGGAAGGTATTGTAAATCAAGAAACCAATGCAATTCTCTGATACAGTGTTAACGAGAGTAGGCGTAGGATTGCAGAATTGATAAGCAACGAACCGAGGAACGATAAAGCGATTTTTGTTTCTATAGAAAGAGCAAAGAATCGATGTCGTGCAAAAGTCGCTACTCGAGGAAGCGATGCGCCTCGATGACTGTGTAGAAAGTTCCCCTGGAGTTCGTTTGTTCCGTAATATGCGTCTTCCATCGACGATCATCCACCGTCGCGCATTGACGCGGTCATTGCCGGCGGATATATCTAACATAAGTGGCAAAGTCGTTTCGCGATTGCGTAATCAAGTAATCCCCGTCGATGCTTAATTACAACTAGTTTTGCACAGTTATACTGTAATATTTTCTAGTACGAAATTACAAGCTGCCGCGCGCTGTTGCGTTATCCTGCCGCGCACGTCTAATTAACGTTGACACATTTTTTTCAAGTGCCTCTCGAATTTTCAATTTCCCGTATCGGGCTGATTATCTAGAAGCTGTTGCGCCCAATGATTCATCGTCCGAACAGTGTTAACCGGGGGAAAATAAGCGTAATCGTGTGTACGTCAATTTGTTTTAACTGTGTTCAATTTTTACACATGAAAATCGATTTCTTTCACAATGCAACGTTATGCTTATTTCGTTAATGCGACGTGTTTCGCTTTGTACTGCTCGCAGAGTCACTGCGTTATTTATGTTCGTAAGAAACTCGCGTTTCGCTGTCGTTAGATGTCGGATTCGATATTGCCAAATAAATTGCAAATACAATTTTGTACACCATCCATCATACGTGTAAAAGAGAAAGTGGAGATCCTGGATGTTGTTCTAAATTTGTTTACAAGTTGTTAGCCCCTGTCAATTCTATCAATAGGGTTTTTGATGAAATAATTGTTCATCCGCGAGCCTATTTAAAGTTTTAAACAGTTTCAATTACTTCAACAACAGTGACTTTCGATCGTAACTTTGTGAATGCTTGTAGAATAATATCTAGAATTTCTATTTATAGCTTATGAAAGAACGTAAAATCTAGATATCTATATCTAGATTCTCCATCTGCAGAGCTAGCTGGGCAGATCTAAGCTTCGGCTTATAAGAAGACGCGCAAAGTCAAGGATCTCGACCTTCTACCAAACTTTAATTCATTGACACACATAGTACTAACAAGTATAAAACTGCATCAATTATTTATACCGTTAGCTGAGAGTCTTCATTTTAAATTTATTGAGAGGCGTAGTACTACATCGATCAATCTCAAGCGTAGACGTAGAAAGGTATGAGTGATTTCTATTAATCAAAGAAGATAAAGGTACGTCGATAGTTACGACCTTTAGCTGATGCACCGTTAGCTTGGAGATTCTGTCCATATCTTATTTAAAGACGTAGATTTTAACATATAATTATAATAAACGATCATCACCTTACACTAATAGAAGGACACAAAGATACGTTACTAATCGTTCCATCTACAACTCACGATCTCCATCTTTTAATTCGTTGGATGATGTGTACATCAACAGATTTCATCTTTGATCAACAATGTCTACTTTCCACTAATATGAAGATATAAAATCACATCTTTAATTTATAAATCAGGGGAATATAGCATCAACAATTGTCACCTTTAGTTTCTATTTCCAACAACAAATGTGAGATTGAAAGTTTTCAGTTTCCCAAGCGACAAAAAGCACCGTGTAATGACAAATTAAACGAACTTGATATTTACCGGCATCGGATAGAACTCGTAAATCTTTGCCCTGTACACGTCCCGCGTGAACTTCGGGTCGAGATCGTCGTTGTCCAGTATCGTAATCTTCACGGTTGTGTTGGTGGTCTTCGACGGCACACCACGGTCCTGAAACACGACGAACGGAAGAACCGACAGTGTAATATCCCGTACACACCTACAGATATTGTCTGCAGACAAGGTCCGTGGATGTCCGTGAAATTTTATAGTTTGTTCGCAGATCCACGGACCAGTACAACCTGTCTTTAGTTCCCCGTTAAAATGGTAAAACAAGAGACCGTGTCTGCGGACAAAGTACCATTACAATCTTATAAACCATGCAAGACTGTCGTTCGATCAACGTATTACAGAATTAATATAATCAAACGAAAATGTTTTTACGAGATGCAGAATCTAACTGTAGGAATTTATTTTTAATACGCAGAGCGTTGATCTAAAATAGATTTCGTGAAGTGGCATTAGAGACCGTAACTTTATCCTCTGGACAACGCCACTGGGTTGCATTTTCTTAATTTATTTTCACGCGAGTTAATTAAGCGAGTGATTTACATATGAGTCCGTTTCTACCGCGTGTAATTGCATCTAAGGCAATAAATAGGCTGTTGGATCGGTCTTATTAATGAATCCACCAACAGTCTAGGACAGTGGTTCTCAACGTAAGTTGAACAAGTGAATTTAGAATATCTTGGAAGCAATTAAAGTATTACTTTGCATTTATTTTTCTTTATCTTAAATGCCTATTTATATTGCCTTACAGAAGAAGCATATAGAAAAGTTTTCATCCCATTAAAAAAACTTCCAAAAAATATTTTTTTCCCGTTTCAGTTGAAATATCTATGTATTCATAATATGCTTCTTCTGAACTTGAATATTATGCTAGAATTGTCCAAACAAGGTTGTAAAACGCTCTTCCTTCACTCGAAAGAAGAAATGCACGTTCGTTGGTGTTTATGAACATCCAAGGTGGTCACGGACCATGTCTATGAACACATAGCAGACAATGTCTGAGCGTGTACAGGGTCTGACGCGCTCGTTACCAGAAATTATTGCGATAATATCGACGAGCAGAGGACTTTCACCTGAGCTGGCTTCTCTGCGAATAGGAACGCACCGGGTAATATCGTGTCGTCTACTCACCGTGGCCGCAATGACCAGCGTGAACTCTCGATCGCCGTTGTCGTAGTCCACCGGTTTACGAAGTAAAAGAGCGGTTCTGTGGCCGGATTCAAGTGAAAATTTGCCCTGCTCGTTGCCTTTCACTATCGCGTAGTGGACGTCGCTGTTCGGTGTGTTGGGCTTGTCGCCGTCCACCGCGTGAATCCCACGGAATATCGTCACACCTGCGATTAGACACGAAATTCGGATCGCTCTATGTTTCCAGCGCTTTCCAACTGTCCCAACGAAACGTTTCTAAGGCTAACAAGTGGGGGATACGAATGGGACGAACGCCTTTCGATCATATAAAACGATACAATTTGGAAGATCGTACATATCAATAAAAGGAATTGAAATGTCCTATACGTTTTCGCGTCAAATCGGATTTCATATCGTTAAAATATCTTAATATGAAAATATTTACACTTGTATAAATTCGTTCTCCAAGTATTTTCAAAATTAATATCAATAAAAGGAATTGAAATGCCCTATACGTTTTCGCATCAAATCGGATTTCATATCGTTAAAATATCCCAATATGAAAATATTTACACTCGTATAAATTCGTTCTCCAAGTATTTTCAAAATTAATTTGAAAAACAAAAACTTGTACGAAAAAAATTTTATTACTTTTTCCGATATGAATCGTCTTTTCTCGGATTGTGCAACGTATTAATGAAGCAAACGCGCGTTTGGACGCCCTTTATAAAATGAAATGTCAAGTACCAAGTACGTATGGAGTATCATAAATTATGAATCGAGGGTTTTATGAATGCATAAAGCGACGAAAGGTCGCCAAGTTAGAAAATATAATCCTCGATTGTAATTCGTTCTCCGTTAAAATTGTACGTCCAAAGCTGCCATTCGGAAATAAAAATCATCCCTCAGTTCAGTGCAACCTAAGACTAATTCGTATGCAGTGTGTCTCACCGACTGGCGTAAGCTCATCCACGGTTACGTGATAAGGCGCGTCGACAAATTGCGGAGCATGATCGTTTATGTCCTCCACGTAGACCGTCACTGACAGGTGCGACGTCACCTAAAAGTATAAATGGAAATATTCACTTATGGGAGAACATTTCGTGTCACAGACAAATATATCGATACTTCGTTCGATACTAAATCATGATTTGTAAGAGAAGTACTATAATATTTAAACTTTTGAAAATACTTAATGTAACAACTACTCTATCGAAGTATCAAATATTTCTAATTTTTACAGAATATTTCAAAGATATTCTACATAAGTGGACAAATTTTACTTTTCTAGTCTATTTCCAGCAATTAACAATTCAGACACGAAGACTTAAACGTAATTTGGCTATTCTTGATTTTCGTTTTATTAAGTTAAGCACCTTGTATAGGCAAAAACGAGAAGATTGAGAGTAAATAAGTTCCGCAATAAAAGGGGAAAATCTGCAATTTTCATTATTTTTTCAGCGCACTGCTTCCTGTAATATGTACCAAATGATCTCACTTCCTCATCGTAAACTCACGCGATGTCTATCGTGAGCGTGATCGTAAAATCCTGTCGTTAAATAGAGATTAACACATGAAATATAATATGTATTTACGTGCCTATTTTTGGCAACGAACTCTCAAATATTCTACATTACGATTGGCGCCCTATAACGTTAGCATATTGCTGCGTTTACATGGCTGTTACCAAACAACTTTCGCGACTCGTCGCATACTGTGTAACGCGGTGTAACACCGTGGAAGTTTGATACCTTGAAAAACTGTCGTAAGTCGCCGGCAGGTTGTTCCTGCGTCCAGAGAAATAAATAAAAAGTATGAGAAAGAGTTGGAGGACGGAAACTTATATGTGTATAAAGAACAGAAAAAGTAGAAAATTCATCGGTGTAGGAGTTTGTAGTTTCTTAGAATTTATGCTAGGAACCTGTGACAATCTGACAAAGAAGTAGGTGAAATTTGATCGCGCTCTCATCATCGATCGTCTTTGTTCCCGCGAAGGACGAGACTGAGAAACAACGCGATACGAGCGGTTTTGGAAAGTAGTGGGAATAACTCTATGACAACCTGAAGGACGGAACTATAATTATAGGACGGAACGGTTATATTTGAATAACCGTTCAAATATATACAGGGTGTTCGGCAACCTCTGGGAGAAATTTTAATGGAAGATTATAGAGGCCAAAATAAGACGAAAATCAAGGATACTAATTTATTGATTAAGGCTTCATTAAAAAGTTATAGAAACATTTCCAGCCACACAGTATATTTTCGGTAAAGAATATTTTTTCTCGAAAGTACGTAGGATTTTGGGAGTATGTGTTTTCATAAAAAATGATTGCAATTGACCCCCACAATCAAAAATAATTTTTTTAGAACGATTTAAAATTGTTTAATTTCGCCGAAAAATTTCAGCACCTACTCGAATTTTTTTCGCGAAAGTGCGTAGGATTTCGAAGTCTACTCATAAAAAATTATTGTAATTGACCCCCGCAACCGAAAATAATTTTTCCAGAATGATTTGAAATTTTTTAGTTTAATTTTTTAAGAACTTTTGAACATAGCCTTAATCAGCAAATTGATATTCTTGATTTTCATTTTATTTTGGCCTCTAGAATTTCCCATTAAAATTTTTCCCAGGGCTGGCCGAACACTCTGTATATACATACATAATATAATATACTTTTATGATGGAATTAAATTTATACAAAAAGTGTAATTTATTAAAATTCCTACTCTTTGTATAAAACAAGCATAAAATTTGTTATTGCAATAAGACAGTGACGGAAAAAAACTAGAATACGAAACAGAACGATAAACGATAAGAAGAATCGTTTCAGAGTAGATTTTTACGGTGTCTATTCGAGATATTCTGTTTGCATAGTACTGCGAACTTCGTTGATTTTAATATTCTTTTCCTCCGCTTTCTGTGTAACTCATTCGTATTTCCTCGGAATTCTCTGTTTCTCTCTTCAATATTTAATATCTGCGACGAGACGGGACACATAACAGTATCACTCGAGATTTATTTACCGAGATTGTATTAACGCATGACGACGTACCATCTGATCGTCGCGACCGAAAAAAATCCTGAGCTGCGTAACAGCGGGACTCTGTCTACATACTGCCGGTTTTATTGCATAGTTGTGCAAAACAGCGGTTCCCCGACCAAAAGTCTTCGAGGAGTTGTTGACTGATTATATTCATGACGCGACTCGAATTCCTTTACCCAGACAGAGAAATTATATTCGAATTTCGAACTGTTTCTAATGCAAACAGGTCGTTCCATTTATTTTTAACGATTAAATATCTTTGTTGCGTTCGAGGATACGATGTCTAAAAATTGTTGATATTATGCTTATAAGAGCACACCATCAATTTATTTATTTTCAATACAGAGTAAATCGAAACATCAATTTATCAAAATAATACGAAATAGTTAAATAAATAGAAGCATTAATTTTCTTTATTAGAATAAATTTAGAACTTGAAAATCAGCACTTGCATCGTAATATAAACGATAAAAATAGGACATCTGCCATTGCGTATTCGAATTATTAAATCAATAAATGAAGCACTTGCATACGTCGTTCAGTATGATTTCGTGCAGTAGAACAAGGCGTAAAGCGTAACAGAAATGTGCCACAATTATATAACTGTACATTACGACTGATGAGCTTCATTACAGATTCATAGTTGCTTATTACTATCATCAGAGCAACTGTACCTAAGTACTTTGACGGTAGCTTGTGATTTTTATTTTTTTGTTAAGTAACTACACTTCTCTCATCATTCCATTGCATAAATCAGGTTATTTCGAAACTCTTCGCGTATTTCGTTATATGAATCTTCGACCCAACGAATAGCGAAACGCTATACCGATCTAATGTATTTAATTTGTAAATACGCATAAAAAGTAACGTTTAAAATCTACTTTAGGGATTCTCCAAGGGTTTTCTTCCGTCGAGAGGGTCAGAGGGAAAGTGAAGTTTGAGAAACACTGCTGCAGATGATTAATAGCTTCCGTAGTCTACACATTTCTCGCAAACAGGATTTACTCGGACAAGAAAACCGCAAGGGCTCACGAAACAACGTGATACTGTTTCACTGAAAACATGCCACTGCATCTGCTACGTCGAACTAGGTGGATCAAAGCCTTCGATTCTTCTGTTTCGTCGTTGGTATTAACTTCTGAGTACAAGTAAACGCGAAGGGAAAATTTCGTTGAGAAGCAGTTTCGTTTTTCCGCGCGAAATTAACGTTCGTAACGCGCTCGAGGATAATTAAATCGACGAATAAAAATTGTAATCGGTATTGTAACGGTTTCGTTGATCCACGGCATTCCTACGAAATAGTTGCATAAACGCTGATTAGCGCGTTACAGAACTGCGAAACCGGTAGCGTGGGCACGCTGGTTCGATTGAGACCGGTACCTGCACGCTCCAGTTATTCCGACGGGTATGGAAAAAGAACTAGACTTCTAGAGAAAAGGTGGGAATACGTTCAGAAACTATTGCCCCCAGGGACAGAAGAAAATTATTAACATATGTATCCGATTAGTTATGAAATGACAAGAATTTTTTTTACTATTATCCATTCTGTTTTAAGGCAACGGGTATAAAATGAAATGTATTCGCTGAAACTTTTACTCGATATATTTTAAATAAACAGGAAACTTATGTTCTTTTTAGGAGTGAATAAAAATTTCAGTAAAATAGAAACCTCTACCTTACTTCGACAAAGTGGAAATTAGAAGTAACGTGCCCACCTCAAGAAATAATCCATGAAAAGAAAGAACAAAGTGGATATTTTAATAATAGCATAAATTGTCTGGAATTAGTGCAAAAAGGGATTAAATTTCTATTACAATTTCATACAAGTTGTTTTCCTCGAAAGTTAAGCAACCAATCAAAGAAATATTTTCTATATCTTTTATTTTTCTTTTTTATAAGGTCTGCTTATCGATTCTAGTAAGATTTAACATAAACTTAGTTTTTCCAGACGATCTAATTATATATGATCGTGTCTAACGCGGAAACACACGTAGAACGAGACATTTAAATAACCTCAGAACCGTTACGACACCCATCGAGAATATTAGCTCCATACTGGCTAGCGGAAACTAAGGAAAACAGCTGGCGACGATGTTGTAGAATTTTCCCAACACTACCTCAGAACGTATTTGTGATTAAGACTCGCAACCAAGAATTGTAACACCGCTCTTCTGCCTGTTCGAACGAATAAAAGTGCATGTTACGATCGATTTAGCGCCAGGTATTTTGTACGATTTACCAAAGAATCGCCGCCATCGTTGTAATCACAGACCACGCGGAACTTGAGGAGATTTCTGGGCGACTCGGCGTCCACCAGGTCCTCCAGGGACTGCGCCAGCACCAGCGAAACGTGAGTTCTATTCGTCTGTTTGTACGCGAAGAAACGGGCGTCTTCGTCCTGCAACAGTTACAACTCGGTTATGTCACGACGTATGCTCGTTTAACGGTAAACACGCTGCTTGTGGATAATTGTTTCGTTTTGTGGTTCATTAATCCTCGTACAACGGTAAACACAACGCTGCAAACGTAATCATTTTGATCGCAATTTAAGTCTCGTTTTATGCTCGATTCAACTATTCGCGTTCTGCGTGCCTAAATATAGACAAGTCTCCTCGATAATTTATGAAAATTATACTGCGATCCCACTACACGGTAAAAAATTCGAAGATAAAATTCTTGCATTTGTCGAAATGATTTGGTGAGGTTTTTTCAATAGAAAAAAAAGGACTTCATGACTCTATTCAAATTACTTGTAAAAAATGGGAGTAAATTTTTCCTCATTATTGAAATTGATTTTTCCTTCGACACGACTGTAGACACGAGCAGTTACCTTATCCACTGGCATAATCGAAAGATGATTTCTCGGATGTGCCTCCAATGATAGGACTTCCGTTCCCTTTGCCAAGTTCTCCGGTACTCTCACGAACTTTAGATATTCCCCCACTGGATAAAACTGACATCCTATGGTCAAACAATAAAATAGAAAAAACAATGAATTTATTTGTAAACTTATTATTACGAACGCATTCTAATCTAAACAATTTTCTTATGCTTCTTATTCGATATTGAGATTATATTTCCTAGAGTCATTTCATTGATCTTTAGACAAATAGAGATATTGCAACATTTTTTACAACGTAAACAAAAACGTAATCGTTGCTCCTCGTGACTTCAACTCGAACTCAAGAAGATAATTAAGTAATTTCCTCTATCTGCAATCAAATTGTACCAGTTTCCCCGTCGTCAATGTCTAATAACATAATTGTTTCATTTATCGTTCGTTCAGCCGTTACCGTTTCTTGCCAACAAACCAGATTTTCATGTAGAAAAGGTTAATCGTGGCATGCAAACGTACACTGTTTATATCTATAGACCCACACACGCTATAAAAACACGTTTCACACAAAAACTCGGAGAAATATGGAGTTCGCTTTCAAGTGAAAGGACTCTTGGGAAAATTTGCATAATAGTAGGTTTAATTTGGCTATCGAATTTTATACTGGTTCAAACTCGTTGAACGTGACGAAAAACACGTTTCGAACACGACACGCTGAAATTTAAACCATTAAATTTATTAATCTCGTGAAACGTTACGTGGAAAGAAATTTTTGTCGATACTTAAAAAATTCGTTAGCAAAGAATAACTCGAATCTCACGATTCTGTCACGTTAATCGAAGCCTGGTCGATACATGATTATTAAAACATCTTCGATCCTCTTTATTATATTGTATACTGAAAAAAATAAACTAGCATAAAATACATGAAAATATTTATTTAAAACGTAGAGTGTTGACAATGTAAATTGATGAAGCAATTTTGTAAACTTTTCATATTTTTCTGAGAAATATTTGCGGTCATCAATTATTATCTCAATACCTGAAACATGTATTTTTAATAGGATACAGTAAAAAAGCACGCTTTATTCGCATAAATATCGAAGGATGCTCAGTGCATGAGTTTCTCTCGATAATAGAACGATCAATTAAATAAATTTTCGGCTCTGTTCGTTCGTTCCGATCACTTGATTCGGTTCCACTTTCATTATCAGCGTTACGAAATTCACTTCGGACACAGTCGACTTAATCGCACCCTGCAATTAAGTAGCACGCGTCGACCAGGCGCGCGCATATTTCATTCGAAACGTCGATAACTGTCGGGCCACGAGCGAAAACGAGTTGGCAACATTTTTACCAGACGCGGCGTAAAAAGTATCGTTTCGTTTCGATAACGCGATTTTTACCCCTTCTAATATTTCCCGGCGATTGGAGCGGTTCAACGTGCCGTAACGCGAGGCAACGTAATCGAGTATATTTTTTCCCCCGCGTCGTTCAGGAAGCGTTCGAAAAGGTCGACAGTTATCCGCCGCGAAACGCATCCACCGTTGGTCTCGCGCAATTTTGCGCCAAGAAACCTGGCAATTTGTAACGTCGTAAAGTGTCCCGTGAAATACGAAAATCGCCAACCGGCAATCTTCACGACTCTAGCGGGACAAAAAGTTGAAAAGTTGTTCGCTCGGTCAGTGTCTTCGGTCCTTGGGAGCTCCTAATTCGGAAGACGGTCGTTAGAAATGTCAAATATCTGAGAGGAAAGTTGAGGTGTCCGTTCATTATATCAGAACTGGAGACTTTCTCGAGAGAGAATCTACTCATCAAGGTACTGTGCAACGATGGAAGTTGGATTGGTCAAAACCAGGAAAATGGATCTACGAGAAGTAGATTATACTGTAAATAATCAGACTCGTAAGAACGCAAATTTAGGAGATTTGAATAACGTCGGATTCGAGATTACGCGACTGTTATTTATTGATAAACGTAACCGAGATAACACAAAGTAACCCAGAGACGAAACGAAGAGTCACTCGAGAAAAATGGTACCGCGAGACAGTAAAAAGGATAACATAAAGAGTCACTCAAGATGGATGAAACAAACTCTTTCGATCGACCAAACCTAGACTGAACTTCCATTGTCGGAACTAATAGGGAGACGAAATTGTTCGATTGAGGAAACTTTTTGATAATCTTTCTGTTCTGGGGTTCATAATTTCGCGGAGATAAGAGGCCTGAAATACGCACACATGTTATTCAAACGGACTCTATGAGTGAAATAAATGCCGTATATAATCTAAAATCATTATCAACGCACAAGAAACTTAGAACTCGTCAAGAATAATAAAGATATAACCTGGGTATCTTCCCATCAAGGCATAACGGGTAATGAAACAGCTGACTCTACTGCAAAAGGAGCGGCAAATATTAAAGTTCAATGATCTACTGCTATGATCTTCGAATAACCTTGACTTCAGAAAAAAGGTGCATGAAGTGTAGTTCGTTTTCTCGCAAGCACAGCTCCACTCACCTAAGCATATTTGTATTAGTCATACCTACAATACTGTCACTACGTAAGAAAGGACGTAAGAGATGACATAAGAAAAAATATTAACATAACTTGTCCGCGTGCGTTCATTCGTACTGTTCCTAGAGACTGGATTGCTGGAACAAAATATTGCAACATTATGTAACTTACCACGTAAAATGTGTAAATTTATTAAAATAAATAATTTCCCAAGTTTAACCAGTCGATCGAAGCTAAATTTTTGAGGTCAAGGTTATCTCGAAAATCATACTATCGCAAGTCGTTGAAAACAATTATTTAAAAAATTTGTTATGTCACAATTTGTGGATTCCTCGTGGATTCAAACGATAAAAGTTCCATTAAGACCAATTTATCATTGGACTTTCTTATTTCAAAATATATAAGGGCTATTATGTTCTATGCTCGAGGGTGTGGCAAACCGAAGGACCATCCGGGGCGGTTCAAACTCTAGCTATGCTACTGCATATTTTCAATGGAAATTCTATGCAGATGATCCCTTCTTGCGCCCATGTGTCTCGTGATCTAGAGGGATCCGACGATCCAACCCCTCTACATCGTGATCTTTGAATCATAATCTCTCGAACAAAGACGCGACATGACAGTCTGGTTCTTGTTCCACCAATGAAAGTCGTTCGGTGTATGACATTTCGTGCGCCACACTGTAGATTCGTTGAATCTAGTTCGCGGGGCAAGCCCGGCTAATTAGCTCGCGCGAGCTGGACGAGAGCGTAAAACATTATTTCCGACTGCGAAAGGGAAAAGATCGAGGGGCGATATGGAAACACGTAAGTAACCCGGCAGCGGAGGATGTTTGTGTCTCACCGCGGCCAGATGGTATCTCAATTTATTCAGGGCCGCGCGATCATCGCGTCGATCCGATCTTGGGACCCTGCAACGCGTCGCGGAATTGCTCACGGTTGCTTCAGACCGATTCGATGATCGCTGACCTGAGAACTCACCGAGAACTCACCTGCGTGCTGCGGACGAAAAACAGCCGGGATTAGGAAATTTTTTAGCGAATAATTTCTCGTTTCAGGTTCCGGATTATCAGCGTGAAGCAAGGACCAAGAGTAACGATTGTCCTAAAATTTTGTAGAATAAATATCATTAAGAAAAGTTTCTTAAAAAAATATAAACCTCTAAACCTTTTGGTCACGTTACAACTATTGTATCGTAATGTGGTCGAGCACCCTCGACAGGGGGTCCTCTTCGAACAATCTAGCACAAACACACTCTAAATCTTTGAAACCGGACACCAAATGTAAATCTAAACTGCAGGAAAGTTCGTATACAAAGTACCTCATTAACTTTGTTACAAAGCCATATCTGTGTTACTTTTAACGATACAAGGGAGCCTAGGAGCCTAAAAGGAACAAATTGTGTGGTCAAAACGTTTCTTTAAACGAAACTACATATTTTTATTATCCTGATGTAACGACTAAGGCCAAAACAAACACTTGCTTTTGATGTCAGAGGAGAAAAATATTTGACTACAAGTATACGCTACGTTTAAAAACGAAAATCACTGTCATTACGGTGGTCCACGGTTGATCATTACCATCGACTGGCAGCAAAGGTACGCTAAACTCGGTGGAACCATTATTCCAGCAGCGTGTTTCTAAACGTGTACAGGTGTTTCCAGAATATACGTATTCTTACGGTACTTTCACCCGATCGCATGCCAATTGGAAACCGATATTAACAGTCGGACACGCATCAAAGTGCACGGTCGAACCATACGTCGATCGATTCGGCATTCTTTTCGCGTCTGGTTTTTCCAGTTACAACTATCGATCGTACGTCATAATCTAACTCCTTGTTCTTACGGTAACGGTGTCTTTAAAGGTACATGCACTGACCGCAACGCAATGTGTTATTGCGCTATTCTTGAGAAACTCGTACAAACGGTTCGATTAAAAAGCTTCGACCAAGATACCGAATTCGATTAACGATTTGACACGTTTCTGGACCAGATTTCACGCTTTGATTATTCGTTGACAACGAATTGCACGGTTTTCGAGAAAAAAATTACGGGCACGAGGCTTTTAACGAAAGGCAGAAATTAGTAGATACGGTACATGCGAAAGGTAGTCGAACTCCATTTTGTTTTCAGATTACACATTAATTGCCACGTAATGCATGCAACTCGATAAGTTAAACGAGGTATTTTGATTCGTAAAACAGGCAGCGTGAATGTTGTTCGGTGATAGGAGAAACGACTCGTTAATATTGCATAATATATTCTTGATTTAACGACCGAATGTTGTCTCTTTTCAGGAAAATGTGACATAACAGGGATACATTACCCCAATGACCTATAAAAATAGGTAGATTCTACATTTTTTTTTCTAAATTAACTATGGTGTAGAATTTGAAGAAGTTCTCAAAACCTCAAGTTGAATCAATAAATGTCACTGAAATGTATAGTTCGTCCAAGCAAGAGTTAGATCTAAGGTGGACCACTTTTAATGATATAGGTGGATACATAAACTTTAATTAGATCTGAGACGAGCAAATAGGGCAGTTACGAGTCAGAACACGTGTTCCAGCTTACGTGCCATCGGCGAGTCACAGAAACGAGTCAATT